TATGTTAACTTGCTAATATTTTATGTGAATTCAGGTCTGAACACACAAGTCTGGTGCTAGTTAAGCTTACAGTTGACAAAGTATTGTTTTTTCTCACGGTATAAAAAGTTCGAATTAATTAACGTTTAATGAACCTACGAAGAACTAAAAAGAAATTCACCACCACCGGAAGTATGAAAGTTACGACCAATGTGGAGAAGTAACGGTTCCGGATCCGCGCACACTTAAAGCTTATGAACGTTTTTGTTCATAGCTTAATGAGTTCAGTGAACAAGCTCGGCTTACGCACTCTGAACGTATTAAGTATGAAGAAATTTGTTCATACTGGCGTATTTAAAAATGCGTAAGCCGAGCATGTTTACAGAACTCAGTAAAGCTATGAAGAAAAGAATTCATCAGATTTTAGTTTGCGCATTTCGAAAAATAAGTAAACCAGGACAAGAACCAGTACGAGAAGTTCGCTTATTTTTCTCAGTGCAGTTCGACATAAATGCCCTCGAGGAAGGGTTCTTTTGCACTGGTTTTAGCCGATGTTTCACAACTGGTTCCGGTCGTGATTTCCTGAATTCTTCTTTAAATCGGCACAGACCGAACCATCTATTGAGGCAACACGTTTCACAAAAGTATGACTAAAATAAAAACGTAAAAGCCTGTAGAAGTGCTTTCGATTGGGCGCTTGCCCGACACAAGAGGAGATACAACTGTGTGGCTGGCAACTGTCTCCATCGCTCACGTCCCACGATGAAGTCGGGTAAGGCTCGCCCGATACTTACATCGGCTGCCGAGCCTCACTAGGTGTCCCCGGTCCCCGAAACCTCACCCCTCGCCCTGGGTGGTCGATCCTGACTACGGTCGTGAGCTTGGTGGAGACACTTCCGTGCGTACCGGGCGGAAGGACAGCCGAGGGCCGGTGATTTGGAAGCTGTCTCTGTCGGGTAAAATGTTTGCCCGACTCGCCCGACTCACTTCGTCGGGTGGGTCGCGTCGGGTATGAACGCCATCAAGCAACGGGCTAGCTGGAATACGACAACCCGCCCGATCGAAAACACTAGCCTGAAGGCACTTCCGGTGATGATGATCTTTTTAAAAATGAGTTGGGGCAAGAACAAAATCGGGAAAGGGGATGCTCCCGGGCTACACTGGAAATGCAAGTGTGTGAATGTCGCTCACCTGTAGGTGTGTGAATATCCATTCGTACACTTAGACGGGTAAAAGGTGTGCATTTTTCATTGAAAATTCACACGTTTACCACCCTAAGTGTGCTGGTGGATATTTACACACCTGCAAGTGAGCGACATTCATACACTTGCATTTCCAGTGTATCCCTTTGCATCCACCCGGCCAATCGCCCACTCCTGCTACCCACAGGCCAGGGGAGGAGTGGGTAGTGGAGCGGAAGCCTTTCCCACCTTCCGGTGCTGCTCTTCTCCCTTCCGCTCAGCGCTCCATTGGAATTCCCGTACAAAAAATGTTCGAACGCACAGACAGAACTAGCATTTTTCCAGTGAGAGGTACCACATTTGTCACCCGAAAAATAATAAAATAGAATAGACCTTTGAGCAGAAGCAAAGTGAAGAACAAGGAGAAGAACAAAAGACCGGAAACAGCTACATTATGCGACGCAAACTGACGTACACTTCCATAAAATGAAAACAATATCGAAACTGGTAGGACACACATTTTACTCGAGTGTTAAGTGCACGCTTGCAGCTGTTTCCGGTCTGTTTTCATTCACCTTCTTCATCAATTCACTTCAGGTGAGAGGAGAGGGTCCATTGCAACTGGTTAAGATGTGCACCAAAATGCATGTGGCTGGATTTGAGGGCCCCACGTCTACGAGAAGACATGGCTGCTGGCACCGAGGGTCTGAGCGGGCGTATGTCGCTAGCGGGCAAGGGCTCCAGGTAGAAGGGTCAGGATTGTCGCTAGCGGGCATCGGAGGGAAAAGAGGGGATTGTGCGGGAGAAAAGGGAAATTGTCGCTAGCGGGCAGTGCGATGGGTTGCCTACCTCCACGGCGTTGGGGCCGTAGCGAAGCACGGCCCAGGGCGGTGTCGGGTGCGTGAGACAGCTGTCAAGTCAATAAGACAGAAAGAAAAGAATGCACTTCTATCTAATAAAAACTCAAATTAAGGAAGATGAGTAAAAATAGCAAAGTAGTAAACATTTACCGGTTAGGAAGAGCATGAGATTAGACAGGTTTTTCCCCTTCTTTAGTTTTGCCTTGGTCATGTACCCCACTAGTTTTGTGTATGACAACATACTTCGTACTCCTGCCCTGATGATCCGCTCGGTCTCCCTTTCCGTTAATTGTTTACAAGTGTCCGTGTGCGTCCCAATCAATTCTTTTAGCTTGCCGTGTCCGTCCAGTAATGCACGACACTTGCAAAGCTTGTTGCTGCAACTGAAACCAATATCCGAGCTGTGAGTGTGAGTGAGCTGAACCCGCACCACAAGTCGCCCGGCTCCGCTACGGCCCCAACGCCGTAGAGGTAGGCAACCCGTCGCGCTGCCCGCTAGCGACAATTTCCCTTTTCTCCCGCACAATCCCCTCTTTTCCCTCCGATGCCCGCTAGCGACAATCCTGACCCTTCTACCTGGAGCCCTTGCCCGCTAGCGACCACCTCCCGTCTGAGCCCGACCAAACGCAAACGGCAGCCCAAGCTACGCCGAGCTACGCCCACTTCCGGTCGAACCGAGGTGCCAGTGCAACGGAGAGAAGCTGGCAACACGGTTTGACCGAAAAGCGGGCATTGCTTGTTTCGCTATATTCGTCAGTAGACGTCGCCCAAAGACCAACGGACTCGGCAAGTTTAGGCTTAGAAACCAAACGACAAGTAATGAAAACTATAATCAAGTTTCATTTTTCAAACCCCTTTTTCCTCCTACTTCTGCCAATCGGGATTGCTATGATTTGCAAAGCAAGAGGGCAGGTCACAAAGAATGAGACAAGAAAATGTGCTCCACATTAAAAGGAATAACCTTCGGCAGTAAAATTGGCAGACAACTTCCGGTCTCTTGTAAATCTTCTAAATTTCTAACAAACTTCTCTACACTCTAAATCTGACATGACTTTTTTTTTTGTCTCAACCGGATGCAGCAACCGGAATTCAGCAAGTTACAAATTAGCAGCTAGTTAACTGACAATAATTTGTTTGTCTATCCCTGAGATGCAGATTCCACAATTAATTTATTAAATTCTGCATCCCTTTGAGATGTGCACAAAAACGCAACATTCTATGGACAGAAAAGTCCGATTTACAGTGTACAATCAGAGGCAGAAACGAACTACTTGTAATAGGATTTACACCATCACAATTAAGGGCTTTGCTAATAATGTAATATTCTAGTGTAAAGGTCTATGTACCCTGCAAACTTCTCAAACTCAGTGCCATTGGTTTTCTCTTGGGAGAAATTCACACAATACATTGGAAAAACAAAGGTGGAACTGATAAAAATGCAATGACTTTGAAAAAGCATTCAAAATCAACACCCCTGGAAAGGCACTTCAACTACTTAAAGGTGATTTCAATACATTTGAACATTTTTGGTGTCCTCACAAAGCCAATAACATTTAATCACCTTAAATAGAATTAGGCCCCACATTTGTTTTTCCAGTGTATCTAAACCACTGACAAGGCATTTACAAGACCTTTGCATCCAAGGAGGAAAAAACACAACAACTGATAAAAAGTCAAGGTAGGTGTGTGCACAGCAAAATATATTTTGCTTCGACCAATGACACAAAATAGCGTAGTGCCTCCTTGAATCAGTATTTTTGTGCTCCCTGCTTCATGCAATTAAAGGTCGACTAAATATGCCAATCACGAGAAACTATGAATCAGAAATTCAGTCAAGACTCACCCAACTCAGCCTGCCCCTCCAAACACAAAATGTAGCCGCTTTGCGTCAGAAACTTCTTGCTCCCAGTGTAGTTAAAATTGAAGGCAAATCAGTCATTCAGTTCCCATCAACACCTGCAATGCAAAACACCACTATAAAAACAAAATTCTTCTACATAATTTACTTAAGCAATTACAAAGTTTCTACCAAAAAGCAAAAGGTTGGCTATTCTGTTATGATTCACATCAAAGCAAATGAGGAGGAGGTTTCTATTTTAAAATTAGGATTGACTTCACTTTTACTGCAATAATTAATATTCAAAAACCAATTCGAGCAATATGACAGTCTCATCTCAAGGCAAAAGAAAAATTCCCTTCTTTTTTCCCCCCAAAAAATCTACTAAGGTGACAAAGAAGTAGAGAGACCCCTCACTTAGGAACAAACAAGACAATGTTAAAAAACCAAATATCGAGCTACTATTTTTATCACATATGAAAGGGACACCTTCAAAAATAATAGCATAACATAAACAAAACTCAGGCTGTTGAGGAAGATGGGCTCAGAAGCTAAAAGCTTACCATGGCAATGTTTCTGCATAGTACCAGTAAATACTCCATCAATGTGCAGGCAGTGACACCGAAGCTGAATAACAATGAATGGAACACCTGTGAAAGAAAACAAATTTCTCGTATTCTGACAATCACAAATACTTCTCAATACAATTCTCATACTCTCATGTGTATAATCAAACAGCTCACCACATCAGTTCTCACAAGTAATATTAATGTGTCTTGAACGTCTTCACACAATTTCTGACGCGCTCCAAATTACTTGCCACAAGCAAAGATCGTATCCTGCTCCAAACTCTGATGTGCCAACTAAGTAAACCAAGATTGAAGAACATCTCAGAGACTGAAATAAAAACAGTCAACAGTTAGGAATATTCTTACTTTTTCACATCAAGTGCTCTCTCTTGTTAATAGCTGACCACTTGCCACCAAAATATTTACAATTCCATGTGAAATCAGGACAACATAATAGAGCTTCTATTTGTTCATGAATATTCACTAAGATTAATGCAGCAATTGCTTAAATCCTTAAAATAAACAGATGGAGAGGGAACAATTCAATACACATTCTATTTTCCTTATCCAAACAGAACTGTAAATTTAATGAGGTGCCACGCAACACAGACTTACCCTTGTACAAAATCCTTCCCCGCATCAATAACATCTGGTGACCAAGTGTCAGATTTCAAAACAAATGAGCCAATCACATTAAAATGCAAACCTAAGAAAGAAAAGTGAATTTTAAAAGTCTGTTGGGAAACAACATTTCACAAAACTAAAAATGTAAAAGACACAAAAGCATTACAAATTATCCTTACTGTTGGAGACTTGCAAAGTCTTGCAAAATCTTATCATAATTTGCCTTCCATATCTGACACCAGATACCAGCATATAACAAATAAACAGTGTTCAGCCCACTAGTGATTCTCATAGCCTATAAAGGAGACACTCTAATTAGTTTCAGCAACAGTATAATGCTTGAGGTAGGAATGTGGCAAAAGTACAGCTAAATTTACCTCGTATAGTCCAGTAAGAGAGAGATCAAAGCTTTGTCGATCTAACCCTCAAGAGTATTAAATACTTTCATACGGAACACACATACACTCATCAAAAAGCGTTCTGGAAGGACAAAAATACAAGGTGACGGGTTAATTCAAATAAAAAATATTTCTTTACAAGAATAAACTGCTTTGATTTCACTCACCAATGCAAAATAAAATCCAACAGCTGATAATTAAAGTAACTTGCTCACTCCATCTTCTGCTACTAAGGCGCTGCTCGACGGGGACCCTGAATCAAAACAACAACAATATCACCACACTAAACAGAGCTGGAAGTACTTGCGAATGTCATGCCCATGCTATAACAACACTGACCTTCATTAATTATTCACCCCTTCTGCTCTTGTGGGCCACAGGTCACTTGACAACTTCAATGCGATCATCACAAGATAATAAAATCGACACCTTGCACTAATCAGAGTCATACCTGCCAGAAACAGAAAAAAGGTTAGAATTTCAAAAAACAATGCAGTCAACTCGATTCACTGCCCATCAGAACTATTTCAAGACGCACACACAAGAAATAAACAATATTTCACTACACTTTTTTCCCCATGGAGTCCAGAGGCAGGGGGAGGGCAACTTTCACATACTTGATTTAATAGACAATCCCGAATACAAAACTATCACGAGGCAACCATCATTTAAGAAAGAACACATAGAAAAGTCACGATTGGCGCAAACAATCGCAATCACAAGAGAAATGAGTAAGTTTTGACATGTTACAATCTGTCTTTGAGAGGTTAGGTTGACCCCACTAGCAAAGACAAAATAAACGTCTTCTACACCTAACACCACACTGAAAATTACACCCACACCTCGGCCAGAACAAGACTCACCATATTTCACACCTAGCCTCTGCGTTCGGCGAAGAAAATCATTGAATTTCAGCGTGCCTACACGGAGTCGGTTCGAGCGGCTTGCACATACCTCGTAGGCTCTCGGGTACGCTCGGGCCCCGGGCGGCCCGGGGCCGTTAAGTCTGCCTGACACCCGGCCCTCCTCGACACGTACAATTACCGCGACGAAATTCGTTACCAAGGATTACGATATTTTGACACATTTCATACGTCTCTCAACGCCTAAACACCTCCCACCCAAAACATGGCCATATCAAAACAAACAACAACTTTGGGGGGAACAGGAAATAGATTCATTCCACAGCTAG